AAACCAAAGACTGAACAAAGTTGCTTATAACTTGGGAGGAAGTTAAGGCATGTACGTAGAAGGTGGATCGAAAATGGGGAACTTTTCTTCTGTTTCGGTTTTGCGATTTTGTCCGGTGTCTACTTCTGAGTAGTGGAATGCCCTGAGGACGTGGACAGACAGACTAAGACCTGAGATGCATAAGTAAAAGCTTCAGGGTAAGCTTATGGTGTAACCAGGGGAGGACCAAACGGAACTTCAAAAGGATTCACAAAGTCAGCGGCATTTGCATGGTAGATGGTTAAAGTCACCTAAGGCAAATCACTTCGCTAAGAAATGACTTTTTCGGGGTGCTTAGACAAATTAAAAGCTTCAAGAATCAACATTCTGGTTTTAACGTTTTATAAAATTTTCACTGAGGTCGGATGTATACATAAGGCTCGGTCGTTGGTAGCGGCAAGCGTCCAACTGAACGGATACATAGTCAGTGTTGTTGATTTCGTTCACTCTGGCTGTGAACTTGCGCACAGATCATATTCGGCTGTGTTCAATCAACGACAATTGGCTGACTGACTGCATCGTCAAGTCAAAGGCTGTTTCGCATGCATAGCAAACATTAACTCCACAAGTGGATTAAGTCGCAGTCTGTATATTGATCTAACCGTTATTCCTCAGTGCAACTCTTTGTGCACAATCATCCAAATCATTCGTATTCTTTCATTTCATTTTCTCCTGTGATCTAGGCCGTGTCCCTCAACATACTTAAAATGGGAATCGGCTCCAGTTCGGTTTACGCGACTAGCTGATCTTTATCTAATGTAATTTGGGCAGGAACGGTGATCTACCGAAATGCCAGGCGAACTTTTTCCCAGGCAGATGTCAACGACTTTGTATCAATACCGCCATATTGGAGTGGACAAACATTCACAATGGTATTCTGTGGGGGAACATTCCGGGTGATATTCTGTTTTATCCTATATGCATGACTGCTACAACTTTCTGAACTATGAAGAGGTAGCGTCTGCCGACGATATCAACTTGTGGATATGGATAGAGGATACGGCCGATGCGCGTACCATCGACTACGATCTAGCAGCAGGAAGACCGAAGGATTCGAAGATATATCTTCTTCATCCTATATCACGAACTCGAACAAGTAAACGGGGTGAGAGACCTCGATGGTTGTTGACCTCCACTCTCAAACCATCTCCGCATGTTCCGGGGTATTAAAGAAGGTCATGCATATCCAAGACACGATCAGAAAATACTTCCTTAATTTGGCCGAAAACCTATTCGGATGGGTTTAGAACCTTACTTCGGCCAAAGGTAGCATTTTGGGTTCACCTGCATTGCCCAAGTTTACATTTTTGGCGAGCGTTTAACGAACAGCAACCAAACATTTCGGTTGATTAGGATGCCTTACTTATTATGGACATCTTCTGAAAAACCAGGTTCAAGTGACTTCTGGCACTTCTCCATGGCTATGAGCGGGCTGTTTTTTCATCCTACTGACATTTTCCACGCCCAAGTCAAGAAAGGAAGGTTCGTTTGCCTTCGGTCACTTTTGACTTGAAGGTAATTAGTGCGCTTCCTTTTTCACAAGCCTTGCGTTTGGGTTTTCCGGATTGGTTCACGGATGTCAACTAATGCAATTCCAAAAGGTGCTGTTCTTTCCGAATTTAGTACAGAATTTGCAGATAAATATGAATTTAGCCTAAAAGATACTGAGGCTTTTGGGTTGTGATAGGCAGCCTTCGTTCAAATTATTTGTAGGGCACTGACCAATTATCGCTCCTAAACACCACACCCCATCAGATCCTTCTCCCCACAAGAGCGACAGTTTTTTTCCTAAAAAATTTCAAGGACTTTTCTCACTGTCTGTTCTCCTTTTTTAGAAAAAATGATGTACCGCCTCATGGCTCAGGACAATTGGCCTCGCCAACACAATGAGATACAATTTTTTGCTGCCACGACACACATGTACAAATAGGGAAGTCAAAGGCAATCTACCTACCTATCCCTCAAATAAACTGATACTTAAACTGATTAAATATAGAAAGCAGGCTTTTGTTAGCCGCCGTGTATGTACGAATCTATTTCTTATATCTTTTTTCTTAA